CACTTATATGCACAACAATGCAGACACCTGCACATTCACACACAGATGCACACGGTCTCAGACTCACATGGGGACTGTGCTCAACCAGTAGGGCCCAGGTGAGCCAGCTGATGGGATGACTCACTCTGGCAGTTCCCGTTAGCCAGACTGCAGCTGCCAGGCAGGCTGCCAGTAGCAGGTCAGATGGACACTGGAGTCACTGCTGGGAAAGGGCCCTGGCAGCCTCCTCCAGTGGCACAATGGGGCATAGATAGCCCTGTCTTTCAGGCAGGGGCACAGGGTCTCACCCCTTCCTCTGGGGAACCGCCCTGGGTTCAGGAAGAGAGAACCGTCATGTGCCTGGGTATTTGTGTCCCTGTGTCCCAGATGTGTCCCTGTGTCTGCCCAGCCTGCTGTTCCACTGTGTCTGAATCTGGCTTCTGGGTCCCTGGACAGGTCCTGGGAACAAGGGCCAGTCTGTGGAATCAAGGGCCTTATGGAAAAGGCCCAACTGTGACCCCTACCCCATTAGGTGTATGCTGTTAGGGAAGCCATGTGGTCCACTGGGCTCTGCCCAGATCAAGTGGACTCACTCCATGTGACACATCCTGATCATCCAGTGTGATCACCACAGGGCTGTAGTGGCTCCTGTCCACTTCGTGGAGGAGAGGAGGCAGGGGTGGCCTCCTGGTGTGACCCTGGGCTCACCTAATGCTCCCCCTACCTGTATTCCCCTTCAGCAAAGCAGGACAGCCCTCAAGACTGAATTGGTGGGACCAAGCCTTTCCATGTGCCACCCTGAGAGTGGGAGAGCATCACACCCAGAGGGCCATGCCCCGGCCCCACCCCCACTTTGGGTCAACAAAGATCCCCTGAGCTGTGTCCACTGGTCCTGTCCCTCCTGGCACAGAGATAGTTCCAGATCCTGGCCAGGGCTTCGGTAAAGCTCAAGATATGCTCACTGTCCTGCAGGAGTCCTGCTCTTCTGCAGCCCTGGGTTGCCTCTGGCTGGCTTAGAGCCCTGGACTCCAGACTGAGGGTGGCATGAGCCCTGTCCCCAGGGCTGCCTCCCCCAGCAGGTGGAGTCTGGCTCTGCTCTGCCCCCAGTGCTGGGGCTGCCTTTTGGCTGTCAAGAGGGAGCTGAGCGCCCTAACCCAGGCCTGCCTGCCGTTGCCCTCCTGGGAGCCCCTTCATAGGTCTTAGGCCAGTGTCTTGAGGAATAGACAACTTGATGTGTCAGCCCAGAGAGCTTCCCCACCTCAGGGGCCAGACTCATCCCCAAGTGTCCCTGTGGAACTGTGGGCTCTGTCTCCCTGAGGCTGTCTCTAAGAGGGCCTACCCACAGATGGGGCCAGTCACAAGCTGGACCTTGATACCCAGGGCCAGGTCTCAGAAGCCCAGCCTGGACCCCGGGATCACAGCAAGCAGAAGCCGGGACAAAGTGCGTCTTGCCCCATCCCCATCCCTCCCACCAGCTGAAGCCTGACCTTCATCCACTGCAGAGCCCTGCACTGCCAGGACTTCCTGTTATCACACACACAAGTGCCCCTCGGGGGACATGTGCCAGCTGGGGAAGGCCACTGCAGCAGGGCTCAGCTCCAGAATCAGTGCCCCTCACCCCCCAGCATCATGAGGACACAAGGCCAGTTCAGAACTCGCCCTGCTCTCTCTCCTTCCCAGGTGGGGCCTGGGCCAGGAGCTGGCCATGTCACCCTGCCCCCCACTGGATGCTCCCCTGCTCTCCTGCGTATCTCCAGGCAGGCCGGGATGCCCAGAGCATCAATGATTGATGCCTCCTTGCAGTAACTGCAGCAGCATAACGAAAATAGCTCTGCCTTGTCCCTGCTCCTCCCGCCACAGCCTCGCCCAGCCCAGCCCAGCCAGAGGGAGTGGGGGCATCTAGGACTCCTCAGCTACCCTAGCCCCCTTCGTCCTTTGCAGAGATGTTGGGGATGGTTCCAGGCCTACTGGCCCAGGGTCTGATGACGTTGGCCATGAGCAGGTGGCACATGGCCCACACAACCGCAGCAGCCCTGTCTCTAATTGTCTCAGTCTCCCCCAAAGCTAAGAGCCTGACTCAGGGCTGAGCATGGGGTCCCTTCCTCTGTGCCTGTACAGCTCAGCACATGCCTAGGACCAGGACACAGGGTCACAGCAAGTTCCAGGGCTGGTCCTTCTACCCAGGGACCACAGGCTGACACAGGCAGGGATGGACATCTCCCTGGAGTCTAGGCATCCTGGAGGAGCAGGACACCTGGGTATCTCTGGGGCAAGGGACCCCTGCTCAGCCAGTTCTTTCTATTGGTGATGCCAGGATCCACCAGGGTGACTACGGACTCCAGGCAGAGTGGCGCCTGCTCCAGGTGCTCCAGGGCCCAGGGTGGCCCTTCCTCCTGAGGATGGAATAGGGGAGGTTTGGCTCTAAGTAGGGCTGGGGTTTGGGGGTAGACACAAATAGAGGGAGAGGAGGCTGGGAGACCAGCCTGGTCTCCTCCTGGGGAAGTCATGGCCTCCTGACTTTAGCGAGGAATCACTCCTCTTGGGCCACTGTCCTCCGCACATGGAGCCAATTAAATCTGAGCAGCTACCTGATCTGCCCATGCACCTGGAGGTCCTGCCCAGGCTCATGCCCCCTGCTGCGAAGCAGGAAATTCCACCCAGATGCTGGCCCAAGTGGCAGAGGCCACCTAGCAGCTACCGGGGCCGCCCCACCTCTTCTGCAGCCAGGGCTGGTCACCCAATGTCAGGGTCACCTTGGCCCTTCCTCAAGACAGCATTTCTTCAGTGTGGTCACTAGGGGTCATCCAGGTATAATGGTTCCAAATGTCTGCTGCAGCAAAATGCCACACCTGGCCTGGGTTAGAAAGAGCACAAGCTCATCCTCCCTCCCAGTGCTGGTGGCAAGGCTGTGTTCCTTCTGGAGGCTGCAGGGGAGTTCAGCCTCCTGGTCCTTTGGACCTCCTGCTGCCTGCATTCAGGGGCTTGTGGTCCTGCGTGGCTGGTGGTCTTGCTTGTTCGGCCTCTGCTTGCACCTTTGCATCTTCTCTCTCTAGCCCTGACCTATCTCCCAGTCTTTCTCCTCCCTCCCTCCCTCCCTCTCCCCCCTCTCTCTCTCTTTCTTTCTTTCCTTTTCAGTGCTAGGGATTGAACCCAGGGCCACTTTACAACTGATCTGTGTCTCCAGCCCTTCACTTATTTATTTCTGCAGTACTGGGAATGGAACCCAAGGGTGCTCTACCACTGAGCTACACCTCCAGCCCTTTTTATTTTTTTCTTTTGAGACAGAGCCTTGCTAAGTTGCCGAGGCTGTCCTTGAACTTGTGATCCTTTTGCTTCTGCCTTCCGATGCACCACCACACCTTCCATCTCTTTTCTCCTCATGAGGACCCCATGATTATGCGGGTCTCAACCACATAATTTAGGACTACCTCCTCATCTCGAAAGCCTTGCTTTAATCACTTTTGTGAGGTCCCTTCCACTTCAGAAGACCCAGCTTGCCAGGGATTAGGAAATACTGAGTGATGTTCCCCAAAACATCATTCATTTGCCATTTCAAGAAGTGCAGGTGGCCCCCACCTGAGCCCATGGTCAGGTACTGCTGGAACCTGCCATTGTTTGGTGCCTGAGTGGTTTCCTCTATTACCACCTGAAGGCCATTACGTTTCCCACATGAAAGCTGAGGCCCAGAGGACTTGGAAGCTGCTGGAAAAGTGTTCCAGACCCACTCCCCTTCTCACTCAGGCATCTGGGCCCAGACCTCAGCCCCTAAGAGGACAGCATTCTCATCTCCTTTCCAATTCTGGACTTCAAGGTGGCAAGCCCAGTGGGAAAGGGGAGTTGGACAGACAGCAGGACTGCTGACTGAGGCTATCCCGGGTGAAAATGAGACAAGTGGAGCCACTGTCTGCAAGCCCAGCAGACAGTGGTCAGTGTCTGACCCCCCATCCTGAAGGGCCACCATGGGTGCTAGGGCGATGCTGCAGAGACCTAGTCCCGAGCAGTCAGACTGCAAGGCTTCCTGAGCATTGCCAGGCTGCTCTGCCTCTCAGGAAGTGTGTGGGGTGGTGGTGTCAGGAGGCTGTGGTCCAGGGTGCAGAGAATGATCTCATCTTGTCATTTTTAAAATCAAAATTTTCAGTAGCGTGGCTGAGGACAGGGAGAGGCTGGATAAGTCATGCAAGGACAGACCTCTGCAGGGCTCAAGAAGGCTGCGGGAGGTGGGGTGAGCATGGAGGTGGCCCTCCCCTTCCCAGAGGAGGCCAACATGGCTGCCAGTATGGCTGCCAGTCTGGGGGTGCTGCAGGGGACATGGAGTGAAGCACAAGTTGACTTCATGAGCCTAGGGGTGAGGGCAGGGGATGTGGACAGATGGGAAAAGACCAGGAATGCCTAGGGAGGCAGTTGGCAGAGGGCAAAACTCACTCATTAGTGCCCTTACGCTGGGGCAGGTGGCAGCAGGAGGGGGTGACTGTCCCCCCACCCCAACTAGTCCTACTCTGGGAACTGGCTCGTGACAGACAGGGGGGATCGTGCCCCTCCTCTAGCTCTGCAGGCAGTGGACCCTCATTCTCCTACAACCTCGAGCCATTTAGGGATAGGTTCTGGGAAGACAGACTTGGTCCCTGGTCCTTAGGGAGCCTCCAGTTCGGTAGAAAAATCCTTCCCCAGAAGCACAATCGCCCCTACAGCGTCTACGCAGCAGGATGAGGGGACCAAGACCAGAAAGTGCGACCCAGTGCCAGCGGCAGCCCGCGTTTGCTTATTCTGGTGTGTGCGCTCCATGTGGGCATGCACCGGGGTGCACAAAGGCACGCGGGGCGCGCGATCACCAAGCGAGAACCTCTCCCGCGGTCTGGCACGTAGGACCCGGCCAGACCGCGCCACCGCTCTTGGGGTCACCGCAGGTGCAGCGCGCGGGGCGAGCAAGGGGTGGGGCCGGGCGGGCAGACCATGCCCACGGCAGCGTGCTGACGCCACTGCGGCGGGCACCGGAAGCGGACCGACGCGCGCCGTTGCCGGGCAACACTGGCGCGGCCGGAGGGGATGCGGGCAGCCGCCACAGAGAAGTGCGTGGGGCTGCCCTTCGCCCTCCCGCCAGGGACGCGCTCCGGGGCTCTAGAGCGCCGCGCCATTTCTTCCCTTTTGGGCCTGGCGCTAGAGCCCGGGAGCCCGCCTTGTCGTTGGGGTCCCCAAGACGCGCTCCAGACTGCGGCGGTCCTGTCCGTGGGCTTACGGGTCCGGCACTTTGGTTGGCCGCGGGACACGCCCCTGTGCTGGACTGATCAACAGCGGCCCACAGCAGCACGTGGGCACTCTCCCGGAAGCCACGCCGGCCCCGACAGCGTGGCTCGCGGCACCCCAGGCCCTGTCTAGCGCAGCCCTGGGCAGCTTCAGCCCAGCAACTGTATGCCTCGTGCGCAGCTCCTCATCTGGTCTGCTGGCCTGGCCGCACGAAGATGCAAGACCGGCAGAAGTGGTGGGGAGAGTCCGTGAGTGACTTCACAGGGGAACGGGCGGAGGTTTCCCGCTGCTACACAGCTGAAGGACAGAGTGGTGACAATTTGGAACGGATAAGGATCTACAGTGAGGGTCCTCTGTCTGTGCCAGGTGGGAAAGCCAGCAGCTCCCCAACGGGAGAGGGCCTTCCGACTTGCACCACTAGTTGTTCTGCTGGGGAGCTCAGCAGCACGTGGGGGGAGTTTGAAGGCTTTAGAGAATCTTCAGCCAAGTCTGGACTCCCTCAGTCCCTTGAACTCCTGGAGAGACCCACCGATCCTCAGCCACTAGAAACTCCTGCCTTAAAGGAAGGTGGTTCTCACCTGCCACACCAGGGTGGATCTGGGGCAACAGGAATCACTTCCCACCCATCTTCAGAGGTATTTCTGTGGTCTTTGTCACCAGACTGATTGAGAAATGCCCTAAGACCTCTCAAAGGCATCAGGCACTGGGTTGGGGGCTACCAGCCTTTGAGGGGCCTCTTCTCTCTGGCCTCCATCCCTTGTCATAGGGTTGGCTGTCCTGTCCTCACAAGGCCAGAGAAGGAACCAGTTGACAGCAGAGCCTGCAGAAATGGATTGGGCAAGACCAGGTGGGGGCAACCCAAGCTGGGCCACTTTCCATGACCACTTCCCATCAGCAGAGGTGGCACTTGTGTGGCCTCATTCAGAGCCTATGGGGAAGAAGCTCTACTGGTTTATAAAGTCCCAAGTCCTAAAGTCACACAATCCCAGATAGCTTTGTGCAAGGCCCTGGAACTGGAGCTGGCCAGCTGAGCCCCAGCCCTCATCCTGTCTGCTCCTCAGAACTCAGTGCCCACCCTTGCCTCCTCTGGCTCCTCTCTGCTGGTCATTCTCCTCCTTCTGTTGTTTCTCTTTGCCATCTCTTCCCAGATGGTTCACCGCACACACCAGGGAACAAAAGATAAGTTCAACAGTCAGGAGGGAGGTAAAAGGTACTCCTACACCAACGATTTCTTGGCCCTCGGTGAGACCCGCTCTTGGGACAGTCAGTTCTGCTGTAACACTTGTTTTAAAACCAGGACTCCTTTCCAATGCAATTGATGCACTAAGGAACATTAGCGCATACGGGAATTTTGCAGGAAACACTAGGCAAATGGAACACCTGCACCCCACGGAGCTGAGGCATGTTGATAGACATAAAACTTGCACCTGCACACCTCAGATAACTACCACCCCCATCCCACTTGGTGTTAGGACACTACCCAGTTCAGACTGTCCCCGACCCCTCACCTGGCTGCCTGCAAACCTCAGGGCCTTTTCCAGGTGAGGCTGTTTCCACTGTATGTGTGAACTTCTCAGCCAGCTCACATGAAAAATTGTGCCAGTGTTTGAAAGGCCACCTTTTCCCTGCAGCTCCGATGAGCTCTGAGTTGTGCTCTCACCCACCTCCTGTGAGCTCTGTGATTTTATAGAGAACAGAGGTTTTAGGAGAGGCTGTGTCCAGAGATGGCACTGACTGCACAGTTGAGCTCAGGTTTCTTTTGTATCAAAGTTAATTACTCAGAATATGGTGACCTAAATGCCTGTATTTCTCCTGATTCTGGAATGTTCTTTCTTTCCAGCCTGTTCTCAGGTATGAGAACATATTTAGGTTTGCTTTTCAAGAAGTCACAGTTGAGCAGGCAACTGAAGATGTTTCCACCTTAGACCATTTCTTGGAAATAAGCAGTGAAGAAGACCCTGGCCTTGCATCTGCACATAGACTGTGGTAATGAACACCAACAGAGCTAAGAACCCCATGGCAGCGCTGTACCTGCACGGTTGTTTGATAACGTGGCTGCACAAAGTTCTGTGCGTGCCTCCTGGAGAGCATCACTGCCCCTGTAGCCTCCTGTGGGCTACAGTGTCCTATGGGGAGCTGGCAGCACAGGTGGAGGCTCCAGCAGTGCTGACCTTGCACACCTTGAGCAAGCTGGCCCAGGTGCCAGCCCTCTTGTGTCTCAGCACGAGTGCAGGAGAGGATGGGAGGGATGGTGGGCCCCAGAGCAGCCCTGGTGTACTTGGTTGAGCCTCAGCCACAGAGCTGTAGAAAACACCCCCAAGCTGTCCACTAACCCACGGGTGGCCATGTGCTTCCAGTACTGCCTGCAGGGCTGCGGGCTCCCAGAGAGATCAGGTGCACTTGGCAGTGGGTGCCGACAGTGGCTTTGAAAGGGTATGCTTCCAGCACCTGTTGACAGAAGCAGGCTCCAGGGTGAGACAGTGAAGGGCTGAGATGCTCCAGATAAGTTGGCCTAAGACCCCAGGAGGGGAGAGAGTGAGATGAGCAGGCTTCTTTGCCCCTCAGTAATGTGGGGAAGGCCAGGTCAGCAAGCCATGGGGGTCTGTGCATGTCTGGACAGGCCTGGCTTTATTACAGCTCTGCAGGCCATTCAGAGTTCTGGCTTGACCCATCATGGCCACTGCTGTGCAGTAACCCAGCACCTTCCCAGTGTGCCTGCTACAGTGGTCTGGGGAGGGACACCCGGAACCCGAAAGGCTGTGGCCTCCGCTGTCCACATGCCTGGCTCCCTGTGTGTGCTGCTCCTGCCTGGCACAGCCCCAGGGAGAGCCTGCCTCAAGAGTGGCCCCTCAGGCCATAGGGTTGCGGGGTGGCACTGGCAGACCATTCTCTAGAGGCACAGTGGTTCTAGAGTCAGTCTTGGCAGGGCTGACACTCAGGAGAGGGTGGTGAATGTTGTTGGGCTGAAGAAGAACCCTGTTTGCATGTTCCGAGACATTGGCATGTTTGGGAAATGATTTAGGCATTTAACATGTCCCATCTGCTCCCGTGTTGTCGGATACCCACCATGTCCTCACTAGGGCAAAAGCTTCTGACCAGCAGGCCCCTCTGCCCCAGTGCCTGGTGGTGATGGTGACCATACCCTGTTTGTTTCTTCATCCATTCTTCGGAGCCCTCAGTGTTTTCCTAGTTTGTGAACATGGATTTTGTGGCCAGCACAGCTGTAATAGTGAACCAGACAGCAAACATCTGGCCTTGAAGACACTCCCTGATGAGAACAGGCCTCCTGTGCTGGGACGCACTGTGGAAAGAAGAGGCAGGGCAGCATCAGGAACACTGACCGCAGGGGTGTGTGTCTGAGTGAAGGAGGTGGCCAGGGCCCCTGAAGGGGCACCATCTAGTGTCACCTGTGCCAGGTCCTCCTCTGCTTGTGAGACTGGGCTTCCTGACCTGCTCAGAAGGCTTTCAAGTTCATCTTTAGTGACTTCCTCTATTTTCCAGTTCTGAATCTAGAAAAGTCTGGCGAGCCCTTCAAAACACCAGCACCATGTCTGCTTCACGATGCCTCTGGAGCCAGTCTCACTGCCAGGAGAAGCTCTTCCTGGTTCTTGGCATAGAAGCTGCTCAGAAGGTGACGTGGTTCAGGGGGTGGAAACTTCACTGGGCCCAGGACAGGGAGGGTGGTGGAGAAAATGACACCGGAAGGCCAACTGACTACTTAGAAGGCCACTGGTGGTGAGGGGTGTGGGTGTGGCTGTTGTGGGCAGCACCTGGACACTGGTGCGGGGTCCTGCAGGAGTGGGTGCAGATGTGGAGACAGGGTGCACATGGACTTGGTGGGGAGAGGAGGAAGGTGCCATGTGTGGAGGTGGAATACCGTGAAGTTCAGAGCATGGGCGGGAGCACTCTGCAGGGCACTGCAAGCCACCAAGGTGTGCTTGCACCTCAGGTGTTGCAGGAGGTGCTGGGGTTAGGCCAGGGCCTGCTGAGGGGGACAAGGGCAAGTTCCAGTATGGGCACAGGCATGAGGCTGAGAGGGAGAGGCCCTTGGAGTGTGGAGGGTGGCCAGTGTGCACCATGATGGGCAGAGATAGTTTCATAGACAGGAGCTGCTGCTGCATGAGGCAGGAACAGCCCAGAGCCAGCCAAGCCCAGGGTACACACATCAGGCCTGTGTGATCAAGAAATAGTAACAGGGCCACCTTTCGGCAGTCAATATAGAACAGATCTTTTTCCACTCTTGAGTATTTTTAAAATGTTTTTTAGTTGTAGATGGACATAATATACCTTTATTCATTTATTTTTATGTGGTTCTGAGGGTGGAACCCAGTGCCTCACACGTGCTAGGCAAGCGCTCCACCACTGAGCCCCAGCCACAGCCCTCCATTCTTAGGTGGAAACTTTTAAAATGGAACTCAAAAAGGAGCTGACAAGGCGGGCCTCATGGCCCCAATGAAGATAGTCATGTGGACGATGGCCATGTCTCCAGTGTGCCATGCTGACTGGTCAGGAGGCCTCGTGGTGGGGAAACCACTGGGGAAACAGAACCAGGGGGTTCTGGAGGGGAGGCTCAGGCAGGACAGCTACCACAGTGGCAGGCTGTGGGTGCTCATCCTTCAGGTGGCCGTGAGGGTGTTTCTGTTGAACACTGTCGTACTCCATTTTCTATTTATAACAAAATGCCTGGTAATTGTAAAGCATAGCATTTTGTTTGGCTCATGGTTCTGGAGTATGGAAGCCCAGGAGAGCATGGTGCTGGCATGGTGAGGGCCTTGTTTGCTGCACCTTAACATGGTGCCAGCCATCACAAGGCAACAGAGCAGTCACGCCAGCTCAGTTCTCTTCTTATAAAGCCATTAGTGCCGCTAGGAGGACCCCACCTCATGGCCTCCTTCTACCCTGATCACCCCAAGTGCCATCAACACTGTGAATTTGGGGTTGTGTGTTCAGTACAGAAGTTCTGGGGGACACACTGGAACCACAGCAGGCAGGTCTGGCTGCCCCTGAACCAGGTGATAGACAGCAGGTGGCAGCACTGAGCAGGGAGGGCCCTGGCCTGACCCTCCCAGGGGCTATGCATGTCCAGAATTAAGGTAGAGGGGCTCCGGTTAAAACGGAAGGTGAGAGGAAACAGTGACCCTGTCAGCTGTGTGACATAGAGGTTTGTCTCCTCAGAGTCCTTCCAGAGACCAGGGTCACATTTCAGAAGGTCCTGACCTCAAAGGTCCTGAAGAGCTGCTGGCACTCAGCACCTTCGACCTGCCCCACTGCAAAGCCCTGATCCAGACGAAGGTGAGCACCCCACAGGAGAGGCCTCAGGAGGCAAGGCTGGGTTTGCACACAGCTCCCTGTGTCCTCACCGAGCCTGGCTTCTGTTCTTCTTCGATGCCTAGGCACGTAGAATGCGCGGGTAGGAAGGCTGCACTGCAGCAGGGTAGCCCTGGGTCTCCAGCCTGGGCAGGGGTGGGCGCCTGAAGTCAGCCAAGCAGCTTTCCTCGAGAGGCCTGCTGCCACCCTCATAGTGGGACTCGAGGCAGGAAGAAGGGCAGGTGGAAGATTGTGTTCTAGAAGCCCTCTCTTTCATCTGGGTCGGCGTCTCATGCCCAGCCTGGATCAGGTTACAGGAGGGGCAGGTGGCCAGGCCCAGCCACAGGGCTCTGTGTGTGAGTGGGAGGTGGGAGAGCGTGGCACTGGGCACTGTGTGTTACAGATCTGCTAGGGGAGGGCCGGCAGTGAGGCACAGCTCTCTGTGGGAGGACACTGCAGCCACGTGCCGAGGGAGTCTGGGGCACGTGTGGTGCCACCCAGCTGATGCCAGCTGCAGCCTTGATGGTTGGCACATGGTGCCAGGTGTGCAGGCACCCAGGAAGGCCTTTGCATGAACACACACAGGTCTGTCACAGGCCCTAGAGGACTCTGGGTCCCTCTGTTCTTTGGAAGAGCCTCGAGGTAGACACTACTTGTCTTTGAGCACAACAGGTTACCTGTCTGTAGCTGTGTCATTTACAGTAGCCAGCACTCGAGGAGGTCCAGCAGCTGCGATGTGGGAACTCCAAGGCCAGGAGCATGGAAAGCAGGGGGACCAGACCCAGGATAAGGGCCAGGAACCTACTTAGGAAACAGACTGGCCCTTCTGGCACCGTGGCACACACCTGCAATCCCAACACTTGGGACACTGAAATAGGAGGATTCCTAGTTCAAGGCCAGCCTTGGCAATTTAATGAGACCCTGTCTCAAAATAAAAAGGGCTGGGAGTGTTGCTCAGTGGTAGAAGTCAGGTGGCAGTGGTTGCTGCAGTGGGGTGAAGGCCAGGGACAGGTGGGCCACTAGCGGCCTTGGTCCCAGTACACCAGCCCTGTGCGCTTCTCTGGTTGCATTGCACAATGAAGTTTTTAGGATCATGGTGACCAAGGAGAGATTGTTGAGGGGCCAGAGGTGGGCAGGGCAGATGCCAACCTGGCACCTCTAGTCACCTGCACTTGTATTTGACTGCTGGCCTCCTCTCAGCTCTCAGGGACACCTGGCAGCAGACAGGGGAGCCTGATTACCTACAGCCTCTTTCTGAAGACACCCCTGCATGGAAACGGGCGGCACATCACAAGTCCACAGGAAAAGAAGGTTTTCCCTCCACGTCACCTAAAGCTGGCGCTTTTTAACAGGGATGTGTGCTAGAAACAGGAGTCTGTCATGTAGGCATTTCACATCGTCTCACTGGCTGGGTTTGGTTCTGTTTTGTAGAGCCGTTTCCCAAACCCACATCAGTTTCCTAGGATCTTTCAAAACCCCTGCCTCAGATCTGATCAGGAAGGGGTGTCTTGGGCAGAGCCAGTCCCCAAGCAGGGGGGAGGGGTTTCTGGATGCACTGCAGCCTGCCCAGCAGATGCCACCTGCTCCTGGTGGAGGATGTCAGGGATGATCCCAGACCTGGCCCAAAGTGGGGAATGTACTGAAATACCACCAAGGAGACAGCTGCACTTTGAGAAGCAGCATTGGCACCTGGTCCCAGGAGGTCCTGGGCTTCTGTGTTGTTCCTGGAAGTGCCATGAGCACTCCCCACAGCATTCACACTGGTGGCCTTGGGGACAGGCCTTTCTGATGGCTGGGAGGCCACACTGGGCCAGCCCTGGAGGCCCAGGTGGGTAGGCAAGTGTGTTTCACTGGTCATCTCCTGCATCAACGGTTTCCTTCCAGGAAAGGCCAAGTGGGCAGCACTGACTTTGTAGAAGGCCTCAGTAAGCCGTGCTCTTGCTGACTCGTTGACTCTGCAAGGACTGATGACAACATTCTGTCCCGAAAGGGAGACCTGAGGCTGGAGGGGCTACAGAGGCCACGCTGGGGACTGGCACTCCAGGTAGAGCCCCTGCTGTCTCTGTACCAAGGCCACTCTAGGACCAATTTGCTCAGGAGGTGCCAGCTTCCCTTCACCTGAGCCACTGATGCAGGTGCAGGTGACAGCTGCTGTGCCCGCCAGGAGGAAGGAAGCTGGCTGTCCCTGGTCACCCCAGGTGGCTGTGCATCAATACCATGTGGCCCACAACCAAGGGGTGGCTCAGATCATTTCCCTGGCACCAGATGTCAGGAAAGCTGCTCTGACCTCTCGCCCTTAACCAGAGGACGTGTGGACCAGCACACAGAAAGGAAAAGGCAGTTTCTGCGCAGCAGAGGGAGGCGGGCGGCAGGGAGAGTGCAGACCTTGCAGGGGCACTGTCACCAATTACAGGTGGACAAAGGGACTGGAGGGACACTTCTCAGAACACACACACAAATGGCCCAAAGGATCAGTCCTGCTCAGAGAAGTGCGGGTGGGACACCGAGGCCTGCTGGTGAGGGCGGAAGAAAGGGCCCTGCCCGCTCGGCTGGAGCACAGTGCAGTGCAGCCTTCATGGAGAGCGGCATGGAGGTGCCCCCAAGACACGGCCTGTGTGATCCCAGCCCTGCTACTGGGCACTTACCGGGGATGGCCAGTTCCGGCTGTGGAAGGCATCTGCAGGCCCACTTCCTTGTGGCCTGCTCCCCAATAGAGGGGAGGAATGGGCCGCATGGCCCCCACAAACAAGTGGTAAAGGCAGGTGGTACACATGCATGAGGGAGTACTGTCATCCACCAGCCAGGTGGAGCCTGCCACCTGGGGTAGCCCTGGGCACGCCATTGGGTGACACACCCCAGGCACAGGTGGACCAGAGAAGCCACCCTCACAGGAGCCAAGGGCATGCAGCTACAGGGGCAAGGGTGCCATCTCCCACCGGATGAGCCCTCGGGAGACCCACTGCACAAGCAGTTACATTCTTGGGTTGTGTTTCCACTACAAAGCAGGATGACTCTTGAGGTGACACACTACTAACGGGCCTGAGCCACCCATCATGCAGAAAACAGCACATACCTTGTAGATTCGAATTTTCCCACTTAAAGATTAACTGGAAGAACCAGTAAAGAACAGGGACACACAGCATGGGGATATGCCGAGTCCTGGGCTATCTGCCTACAGCGGCAGCACACTGGCCCACGAGGGGGCTGTGAGGCAAGGAGGGCCACACCCTGCTTGTGTGACCAGTGTTTCCAATAAACCATCACCCAGGGGGTGCGATTCGGGTATGCTGTGAACTCCACTGCATGGAACCTGTTCGCTTTATAAATAATTAATTTATATATATAAAAGTCGTAGATGGACATGATACCTTTATTTTATTTATTTTTATGTGGTGCTAAGGATCGAACCCAGTGTCTCATGCTTGCTAGGCAAGCGCTGTACCACTGAGCTACAACCCCAACCCTGAAACCTGTTCTTAAAAATTGAAAAGGTAGCCTGACATCATCACATTGACTTGGGAGGCTGAGGCAGAGGATGGCCCGGGCTAGTCTCAGCAACTTAGCAAGGTCCTGACTCAAAATTTTAAAAAAGGGCAGGTGGTATAGCTCAGTGATACAGCACCCTTGGGTTCATCTCCCAGTACCAAAAACAAAAAACAAAAAAAACACTGCCCCAAATGTCCTTTTTAACTGTTTTGTTTTTGTTTTTTGTGGTACAGGGGAGTGAATTTAGGGCACAGATGTCTGAACATGAGCTAAGTATTAGAGAATATTCAGGAATTATTTCCTGATTATGGAATCGTCAATGTATAAACATGCTCTATTTTCTAAGGCTAACCGGATTTTTAAGGTGAAAATGGCCTCCTATAGCTCGGATTAGCTTAAAAATTGTTTCAGGGGGCTGGGAAAGTAGCTCAAAGGCACAGCACTCGCCTCACATGTGTGAGGCCTTGGGCAGCACTGCCAAAATAAATATATACACATTTCAGAAAAACAAAAAAGACAGCATTTACAACTGGCCAACCTGGGCAACAGGCTCAAGGGCCTGATACAGCCCCTCTGCTGCTACGTGAAGTATGTGAAGTGTGAACAAGGGGCTTTCGGTGGGCACAGCATGCCTCAGTTACTCTGAAGTACAGCCTGTCTTCTGGGTCCTTGCAGGGGAGTACAGGGAACTGTAGGCTGTGGCTAAGGGGGCCCCTGCCAGGTGTTGGCAGGAGCTGTGACCCTGTGGCCCTCGGGAAGAGTACAGAAAAGCCAGGTGCTTCCCTAGGAAGCTCCACCACAGGAATGTGGGGGCGGGGTAAGCAAGGGTCCTCAGACACTCAGACACCCTGGGTGCTGGGTGCCAGTGGACCCCAGCCAGTCCCCAGCCCTCACCTGACCCTTCCTCCAGCTGCACATGCCCCTCCCACACCACCCTGGACAGCTGCCCACAGCAACAGCAGGCTGGCCCAGAGGGAAAGCTCCTTCCCCGCTCATTCCTCACCAGGGGCTGGGCTTTGGGCAGTGCACCATACCCCAGCCTTGTTCACCCTGGCTGGAGAGGAGGTGACGGGCACCACACGGGCTGAGTGTGTTAGGGTACCAGGTCATGCACCTGGTACCTCCATGGGCCCATGCTCCCGCTGTGTGTCCTACTTGGTGCCTTGACCCAGTGGGGCCAGGCCAACAGCCTGAGCTGGAAGGAGAGGTGAGGGCTTGGCAGAGCCTCCCAAGAATCAAGCCTGCTCCAGTTCAGGGTACCCAGTGCCCAGGGCCATCTGCTCCCCTGGAGCCTGGGTCCTGCCTGTCCCCCAGCCTAACAGGCAGGGTGGCAGCTTTCTTGAGCGCCAGGTGCCGAGAGCACATGAAGCCACTTATGGAGGCAGGTAGAGGGCAGGAGGCAGCAGGACACCCATGTTTCAGTCCCATCCAAGTTTCTGCCCTGAGTCCAGCTGCAGTGGCATCTTCAGCTCACTCTGGGCTTCACCTGTGGGTCCCCCACAGCCCTGCTGACTGCAGAGCAGCAAGTCAGCAGGTCCAACCAGATTCTGACTACAGGAACACGGCGTCTAGCCCCAAGGCTGCTGCAAGCTGTCATTTACACATCTCGGGGATTTTTACAAAAAAGACGAGGTGCAGCCCACAGAGGCAGCAACCCCCCTATGCAGCCGTGCTGGGGGCTGCTCTGAGCACCTCATTCTTAGGGCTTTCTCTGAGCGTTCCAGCGCCCCCCACCCCCCATCAGGTTCTCCAGTCTCTTGCTCAGGCATTGACATCATCAGCAAGAGGTGGGCCTGGCTGGTCAGCAGGCTCTGGGAACGCTGGGAAGCAAACCACTAGCCAATGGCCTGGCATCCCAGCTGGGCAGCACAAGCTCACTCGGGAGGCATGGAGGGCAGATGGAGTAGTGGGGCTTATTGCCTACTGGGCAGCACAGGATGAAGTGTATGGGCCAGAAATGGTCACCTGCAGGGGAGCAGGGCCCTCAGCAGCACCGGGGCTCCGTGGGAATGGCCAGGCTGAACCTCATTCCATCTGCAGGCAAGTGCTCCCCACGGCTGACCCTGCGGGGCTTTGAAGTGCCTTGAGGGGCCACACTCAAGCTCACAGACACCACTCGCCTCAGCCCTGCCCTTCTTGCCTCTACTGAGAACCTGGGCAGACGTGTGGCACAGTACACTGTGGAAAATCTACTTATAGGCTCTCGTGTTCTCCTCATCCCTAGTGCACACCACGGAGTACACCCCAGCCCTCGGCCTGCGGAGTAGCTGGATTGCAGCCATGCACTGGTGCTCATACTTAAAATCAGTGCTTTACTTTTCAACCTTTAAAAACCTAATGCGCTTCCAAGGCAAAGGGGCTCCAAGGCTGAGGGTGTAAAACCCTGCAGGAGGGCTGCTTCCCAAGGCTTCTGCAGCACGCTCTCTGGTCTTGGGACCCCACCTCGATACTTGTGTATTAGAGCATGCACTCTAGCCGTACGAGAACCTGTCAACTAAGTTGAAAACCAAATACCCTGACCCCTCAGGGTAGAGGGGTCAGGGTTTGACTGGAGGCAGATCCACAAAACACTACAGAGTTTGGATAACTGGAATTTATATTTTTTATTATATAGATATTTTGTAAACAAAATTATCAAATGTTTGGAAAACTGCTTCCAGTCAATTACTTATATCTACATCTTCAAAAAACACATACACATGATGAAACAGCCAGAAATTTCTGTAAAAACAATGGATGAGCCACGGGGACTACTGCAGAAGCAGGTACCTTCCCAGGCCTAGGTCTATAAGCCCGGGGAATGGGGACTGGCTGAGGGGCTCTCCACCACCAACAACCACACTGCCCAGTCCCATAGGTTCTTCACCACCTGGCAGACAAGGGGAGGCAGCTGCCTGGTGTAGGAGCTGGGGCACCAGGCCTCCGTGCGCGAGGACAGCCGGTTCCCTCACTCCGTCTTACCTTTTGCCAGCCTGCCATGCCAGCAATACCTTGTCACCTCTGAAACTGAACACATGAGATTTGCAATAGAAATGCTGCAAAAAAAAGCAAACACTGCTTCAGCTATCAGCAGGCACCCTTTTGCTTCCAGGAGTAGCAGCACTCTCACCACCAGGAGGCGGCCCTCCGTGGATCCAAAGACGGCCAGCCCTGCTACGGTGACGCTGCCTGATCCCTGGACCGCAAACTGGCAGAAGCCCCGCCAAGCTTAGGAAAAGAAAAACCATCCATTGACTATTTAATGCATTCAAGTGAAGTTCTTTCCCTACCTCCACAGACAGACAGACATTACAGCTGAAACCAACGAGGAAAACAAAACAAGGATGACATGGTGAAGTTCACACCATTCCCATTTTGTGCGCTGGATATTTTTAATAAAGTGAGGTTTACATCCATCACTGTCATGTTGATACAAAAAAAGTATGGTCATGTGCACAAAGGAAAACCACATGCCTGTCAGGCTCAGAGATGGGAGGTCAGAAGAGGCACGAGGAAACCTGTGCATGGTAGGCAACAAGGATCTGGAGATGTGGCAGCCAGGCACAGGGCCACACCAGCTCCCTTCATTGTGTGACCCTTTGGATTGAGAGGACATGAATTACAGAGTTCTTTCATTCTGGACTTAAATTTAACCTTACAATTCTGTTCTAGCACCAATTTAACAGAGCAGGTGTAAGCATTTCTACCAACAGCACACAGGCATACGGTCTTTCCAAACACACATGTCTGGCACACAGCAGCCCATGTGTATGCTCTAAAAAGGGCACGCAGCTCTGCTAGGGCCGTGCTGGAAACAGATGGGAGGCGCCCTCTGTGACCACCTCATGGAAGACACAGCTGAGACTCCAGACTCTTAAAGATCAAATGGTGCCTGTGATTTCACACAAATACCCAACCTTCCCCTCCAGTGGCATTTACATATATAAATAGGCTTAAATAGAACCCTCCATTATTTTCACTAAGTCTAAAAAGACACGGCTTCAGAGCAGGTCTAGTGAAGAGGGTTCTAACTGCATGCAGTTCTCATTTTAAGCATCCTCTGTTGTAACACAGAACATGACATAAGGGTCCTGCGAACAACCAAAGTAGAAAACAGAACACTTACGCTGCTGCATCAGAGTGTGGGAAATGACCATTTAAACCTTCAAACAATGAAATACACAACTGCAATTGTTCAGGTTATACAAGTTTCTAATGTAGCAGCAAATGATGTTTATACAAAAAATAGACTTTTAAGAAAATAGCTGCAAAAATCTAAGAGTATAAAACATTTAAAAAATATATCTTAAAAGACAAAATATTGCCCCAAACATATAAGACTGAGTTTTAAAAGTTCACCTATCTAGATTTTAATGAGGTTGGTTGAATGCAGCCTGTTGCTCGACATCTCCGCGGGAGGTGCAGCCAGCACAGGGAGGGCCTGGGGCTGTGGGATGTCACCTAGCCCAGGGCTGAGGCGCCTTCAGAGAGCTCCAGCTCCCAGGACCGGCCTCTGCTGCCGGAGCCAGAGCCATTGAGTCTGCCCCAGGACACTCTCAGAATCAACAGACTGCCCCACAGGGCCAGGACGCAGGCTGCAGTGGTGAGAAGTCTGCACAGGACTGGTGCCCTGCGTTTCTACATGGGCCACAGTATATCAGGTAAGCTCTCTGGGGCATGTGGCCTTGTCCGTGGCCCACTGGAGGCCTCAGGTTTCCACTAGGATCTCCACCACATGGTCCAGTTCGGCCAGGTCGGACTTGCAGCTGGAGCCGGGAGGTGAGGCTGCCGAGGCAAAGCCCTCAAGCCCATCACAGAGGCCGGGCTTAGTGCCACCCATCATTCCTGTCAGCACAGTGTCCAGGTCGTAGTAGGAATTGTCCACATCTGAGAACAACTCCTCCATAGCGCTGGGACTTTTGTTCTCCAGGGTCTCAAATATCTGATCTAGAGACTTCTGAAAGCTTCCTCTGTTTTCTCGAGGGTTGCCTGTATCCCAAAGGCTACTCTGAGTGTTCCTCGGCACCTGTGCTGAGCTGATTGTGGAAAGTTCAGAAACTGGACCTTGCAAGGGGTCATCTCCCAGGTCAGGAGCAGGGCACCCTGCCTCTGGCCCCCTTGCTGTGCGACACAGGATCTCCGTAGACACAAGGCGGTCGAGCGGCACCCGTTCCGCACTCTGGGGTGCTGCCCCTCGCCATGCACCATCCCGGCTCATCTCCTCCTGGATCTGCCGGACTGTGTTGGCAATGAGGACTGAGCGGCAAAGGTTGGGCTCTACCAGCATGTGGCAGAGCTGGAGCTTGACCAGGGACATGTCCAGGAGCGACTGCCGCTGAAGGCTATAGGCAGGAACAGTGCCAAAGCCAGCCAAGGCACCCTCCCCATCTTCCTCCTGGTCAACACATTTCCTCTTCAGTCCTCGTGCAAACATTGTGCCCTGTGGGAACCAAGGAAGACGCCACTTAGCACATCTTGGCACCCTGGCACAGTGCCCCCAGGACACTCATCAAAGAGAGAAGGGGCATCTGCATACGGGCACAAAGGCATGTCCTGGAAGGCAGCGTTGTGTCTGTGATATACGCACAGCCATACTGTCAGCAACAACAAAGCTTAAGGCTGTAGCACGACTTTTCTACCCACAGAAAAATGAACAGAAATAGGAGAAACTTTATTTCTTAGAGCCAGGCTCAAAATCTGCATGAAACAATCCACGCATTCGTGCCTGTGAAAGAAGAGGAACTCTGCGGTGAGGCACAGAACACAGGGCCATGGAGAGGACAGGGCTTGCAGACCACATCAACAATACTGTCCACCTTCCAAAACCGATTAGCTATTGGATCCTCACCAGTGATAAAGTCCTACATGTTTTAGAAGGGCTGCTCCTTCCCTTCGAGAGCTCACTAACAAAATTATGGTCCCTTATGGCAGACGGCTCACTGGGAAATCGTACTCCAGAGATGCACAGATCAGAACGCTGGCCTATGTCCTCCAGCGGGCAGGCATTACCTGGCTCCACAGCAGCACCTTCAGAAGGGACCAGGGCCCCGAAAAGCCCCCTTGTTCTCATGTTGTGTAACACAGTGGCTCAGCACAGCTGGGGCTCACAGTGATTACCTGGGGCTCTCCTTCCATGCTCGTGCAGGAGCTGAACATTTTTATTTCAACTAACTTGAGATAAATGAATAAATTCAAACTATTCAGAGTCTTTTAAAAATGCAAACTTTTAGGATTTTTTTTTTTTTTTCAATCCAATGACTCTCTGTGGTTGGAGTGCAGCCAGGTGGCTCTGGGGAGCTGATGTGGGAGGCATGTGCTGTCCCCCACGCAGGGCCCAGGAATAAGCGGTAGGTAAGCTATGCAGTGTGGAAGAACCAGCTGCCAAGTGTCCCTCCCCAGGACAGCCCTGGTGGTGACTGTCTTGCTGGCTCTACCCTGGGAAGGACAGGAAAAGATCCCCTGTCCTTCTGAATATCCTTTCAAAGTCCTAGATATCACCTCCCATGCTTGCAACACTTTAAATTTTATTAACTAAAGTAACCCCTTGGGCATTTATCCCAAAGAAATGAAAGCCAAGGTTTATGTATAAACGTATACAAGAACATTCACAGTGTTCACACCAAACAGCTCCATGCTGGAAACAGTCCCCTCAGCTGGGGATGGCCAAGGAGAGGCCAAGGGATCACCACCCTGTGGGATCTCACTTGACATTTATGCAGTGGCAAACTAAGGGGTGGGAGGGCCATGCAGGGCAGGCACAAGAAATCCCTGGAGTGAAGGGGATCTACACCTGGGCAAGTGTGCTACACTGCAGAGGACCCCACTCCCCACTGCCCCTGGCACCCACCTGGAGCATCAGGGTCACGCACACAGGGCCTCTGTGCCAGTTGCTGTGGGTCTAGAGAATTTCAAACTGAAGAGTTAAGCCTGAGCCATGGTTTTCCCCAGCAGCAAAGTGGCATGACCACCTACACAGGTCCACACCGCACACAGCAGCAGACCTGTTCTTAAATGAACAGGAGCTCACCACCAAGACACATTACACTCTATCCCGTCTGGTATTATAGCATTCAAGTTCTTTGTCTTGGTGCAAATTCAACTTCTACAGAATTACTGTTTCTAAAAACCCGATCACATTTAAATCACTGGTATAAAAATTGTCAAGTTTATCAAGAAAATATAAGATTATGTCAAACCACAGAAAAAAAATTGTTTGGGGGAAAAAATTAAACTCCAAAGATTCCTCCGTGGCAAGCCCCTCTTTCTCTTTTGGTTCTGGGTTTCTCTTTTCAACCATAAAATTCCAACTCTGCAAGATTTAATGTAGGACTCAAATGTCATAAATTAAGTCCTAGTTTACAAAACTTCTGGCTGCCCTCTGACTTTGGAAACCAGGTAATGACTGGGTAGGTCCACCAGAAGTCAAGATAGCCTACCAGGAGCACATGGGGCAACTCACAAAAGGAGTAAGAATGGGGCAGGACCAAGACCCACCCCTCAAACCTGAACACAGCTCCAAAACTATCCTGAGAACTAATGACCTTGACACCCCTATCTCCTGGTCATAAGCCTCTGGGCAGCACACTCAACAAAGACCCTCACACTGAGTTCTGGAAGCCAGATGTGGTCCTAGGACCCCAGGGAATGTGAAAAGCCTGAGTTCAGTGCTCAGCTACAGCTGGTAAGCAGCCCCTAGGCCATGCCAGGACGGCACTGCTGCAGAGAAAGCAAGCCAAGGCACCCTTAACAGGATGTGCTCTTAGAACTTGAATGTACACATCAGCAACAGCTGGACCACATTCAAACAGAACCCTGACCCACAACCTGCAGCAAGGAGCCCACAAGCCAGCTGCTGACCTACAGGACAACCTGGAAGTCCACAGGCTCTCTAGGAAGCTAAACAGCAACTTGCTAACAAAGGCACCAGCCAACACATAAAAACAACAGCTGCTCTAGTTTCTGTCCCTGCTGCAGAGCTGGACTAGTCAGAGAGGGGCAAACAAATAGCCCTCCTCCCACCCTTGCCTCCGTCTCTGGTGGAACTGTCCCCTATCTATAGTAGCTCCTACACATCCACCACCTGTTCTCACCTGCCTGGCTGCTGAGACAGCTTGCTGACAATCAAAAAGCACGAAACACAATGTCCTACAATCCTAAGCACTCAGAGAAAGCCAGTCACCCGTGGGTCCCTTCCTCCCAGCCCTTCCCAAGGCAGCCCTTCCCTGCAGGTCCACTGCCAGCTCTGCCTGGATGGAAGTCTGATCCCCACAGTGGGGAGATGCCCACTCAGAGTCTGCAGGAGCACAGCAGCTGTACCTGGCCAGGCCACATCACTCACCTACACCTAGGTTTTTGTCACAGGTAATAATGGTTTCCAAGTTCAGGTGATGCAATGGTTCTGGCACTTGGTTTCCTA